GTTCACCACTTGCCAATTATTTACCGCATTTGGTAAGTAATTAAAATTATTTTAATCATTTAATTAATATTATCTTTTTTTCTTTTGTTATATTTATTTAAATAGGTTCCATCTCAAGTAGCTACAGCTCATTTTTCAACTTGTTCTATCACGTGATCAAGGTTTTAGCCGACGAAGGTTATTTACTGCAGTCCCGTTAATTAATCAATATCCTATAGGTTCAATTCTTCTTGAAAATCCATATTATGGTTTAAGAAAACCACTAGATCAATCTCGTTCATCATTATTGTATATTACCGATTTATATATCATGGGTGAAGTACTTGTTTTAGAAACACTTATGCTACTTCATTGATGTCAAAAAATGAAATTAACACCGGCTATTCTACATGGTTTTTCTTTTGGTGGACATATGGCTTCATTAGCATTTACAAAGTAAGATTCAATTCTATTATTTGATCTATTTAATGAATGGATATACAGTATCTATCATAATTTCAAATAATAATTCGAGTAGAGCAAACCATATTGCAAAAAGAATATAAACTAAAAACATTGATTATTTGATTCTCTAAGTTAGGATTTTTTTGGACAATCCAAAAGCCTAATTTCTCAGTATCTAGTACTTGAACTCTCTAGGACGGTTTTTTATTGAGTAAAAGTTGAATAATTGTGGTAGCCATTGTGTATATATTTATATTTTAGATGGCCTGATCCACCTTCTCGACAATTCTATGAAAATAAAGCCTCTCAAACATTTTATGATTATTTACGTGAACGAAATCGATCAATAGACTCAAATAAAATTGTTCTGGATCTTATTAAAGATATGATGCGTCTTCTTATGGATGAATTTACATCTTTATATAATTATTCATGTTCACTTCAATCAAACATATCTAATGCTATGTTTATTGCTTGTACACATGATGGTATTCCACATATGAATGATATATAGCCTAGTATTCATATTCGATATATTCCTCATGGACATGTTAGTGCATTTTTATTTAATCAATCAGGTTTTCATCATGCTGCTGCTGAAATGTTACAACGACAAGAACCAAATGTAAAACTAAAAAAACATCTAATCATACCACTAATTTCTGTTACTACACCTAAAAATTCGTGAAGATATATATTTTTTTCATATAGATATTTTCTCAAAAAGTATCAAATATTTCCTAGTTTTTGTGTTATGATTTGAATAATA